AGTAGGTACGGTAGGGTAGGTACGTAACGTACTACGTTACGTTACTTACTTTACTACGTTACTACGTTACTTTTAGTATACTATATATATATATATATATATATATATATATATATAGTAGTAGAGAGAGAGAGAGAGAGAGAGAGAGAGTTATGTTAGGGTGCTCGCACAAAGCACTTTATAATTGTACTCATCAAGTTTTGGACACTTATATACCTTTGTTTTGTAATAAAATATTTTTTTAGTAAGGGTATTTTTGGTCATTAGGAAGGGTATGACATCATCCACATGGTGTGTGACATCACACACATGGAGCATTAAATGTCATTAATGTGCTCCATGTGGGTGATGCCAATATTTAGGGGAGTTTTCATTTTCTGTTTAAGTCAGATAGGAATATGAGATATTTCAAATGTAAGAAGCTAGCATAAGAATAAAAAATGTCAAAAAGATAAAGTAAATAAATAGATGTTAAATGGTTAGCAAAATTGCAATGATAGCAAGAAAATTAGAAAATGTACATTAATAGATATTTTCAAAACCCAAGAGAGTGCAATAACTTCCATTTTTTGAAAAATGACAAGCTTTTCAATATGTCAATGGTTGTTCTTTTCTAGGATATAACTACACACATGTTATGGTATGACCTTGTATAAAGAGGTTCAAGATTTTTCTAGGATATGACTACACAAATGTTATGGTATATTCTTGTATAAAGAGGCTCAAGATTAACTAGTAGAATGTGAAGCCGCATAGATAAATTAAAAGTGTTTTTAAGTATCTGACATAACAAGACACCGACCTCCTATCCCAACCTTATCAACTTCCCTTTTCTCCCTCTTCTTCACATTATTTCAAGTGAATTAATTAAAAAGCAAACAGAACACATACTAGAAGCAGCACAGACCTAGTTCTCCAAGACAATTTGAGCTTATGAAAAACTTAGCGCCAATGTTAAAAAAACAGGGTTTGGGCTTCGACTCGCTTGGCTCCCAAGCCCACAAGAATGTTAAAAAACACGGACTCAGGCTACGACTTGCTAGGCTCCTGAGACCGACTCAGCCAGTCTGACTCAGATCAGTATCTGCAAAAGTAACACAGTAGAGCCCAGACTCGGGTGAGAGCTGAGGTTTTCGAACCGGAATTGGCACCCTGCTGGGTCTGAGTGGCTTTTTGCACTTGAGTCACTGAAAACTAAGTGCCTCATGCAATTCCATTACAGTCAATAAAAAGCATACAAGTACAGCGATCCGAATAAGAATTTAAATACTCAACAATTATTCAATGTATAAAAAGAATAAAACAGAAAAGTTGCACCTTAAAATTCACCTGTAGCCCTAAAGAGTCTTGGATTACCATATATTGTTGTGAATACAAATGTTTCACTATTTCCCTGTCAAATAAAGAACGAAGAAATAAAGATCAGGAGCACAAGAATAGCATGCTGCACAATAAAATGGAAGAAGCAACCTTACATAAATGGCTATGTGGGAAGTTCTCACAGCAATGTAAAGCAGGAATCATTTGTAGATGCCCTAAGACCATTGAAAACTATAAGAATGCCAATAATTTAAACTTGAAAACAATCCTGCCACTAGAAGAATAAGTTTATCCTTCAAAAACTGCTAGTACTTCATTATCTTTTTCTTAAAAAGTACAGTAAGTAGAAAACATGATATTTTCTTCACTTTACTGGCATTGTAATAGCAAAATTAGAAAGAAGATCAAACATCATTCTTTTGGAAGGCAGAGATGTATTATTTCTTATACTTATTGAATCACTATTATTTCAATTTTCCATTCTTATAGACAATAAAATCATTTACAAAGAGGACAGAAACATGAGACATGTAAAAGTACTTTCATCAATATGTTCTTGCCAAATGCCCCAATTCTTCTGCCAAACACCAATTGACCATTAGCTAATTGGTATATTGGCCCCCTCATTTCCAAAGCCACAAGAATGACAGCGAAAAACCAACACCACTCACAAAAAGAAAAGTACAAAAAAGGCTGCATTTGGACTATAGCTAAAAGAAATTCTGGAAATGTATCCAACAAGTAAAAATTCTGTAGAAAGCAGATATTTTGTCAAAAATTTCCAACACTGATTTCATGAATTAGAAAGCATTTTCTTTTTTTCTTGGCAGGTTATTCTACATTGTTCTTGCACTTATTTATTCATAAAGTATTCATTGGGTTCAATTCCAAAGAAAAAAAGAAAACTCATAACTATCACATGCTTGGAAATTACTCCTAGGTACATACTTTCACAGTAGCCATCTAATATATACAAGTAGTCGTTTTCTTACTCGCAGGTCAACAAAAAAGTCAGGCCGCTTAAGATTACAATGTAGCATGAATAAAAAGCTTAGTATAATATGCGTTTATTATCAAAATAAAAGTAGAAAAACATGGAGATTTGGGCAGATGCAGTATACGTACTTTCACAGCAGTCATCTAATAAATATAAATAGTAATTTTCTTATTCGTAGGTCAACTAAAAAGCCAGGTCGCTTAAGATTTTTTTGAATGTGTTAACATAGGTCGCTCAAGATTAAAATGCAGCATGAATAAAAAGCTTAGTCTAATATGTGTTCATCGAAACAAAAGTAGAAAAACTTAGAGATTTCGGCACATGCAGTACATAGGGAACTAAATTTAGTCGGAAGAAGCTTTCTTCATATCAAAATGGCCATAAAGGACTAATAATTGTTCTCATAGAAAACAATTAGCAGTTCTGTTTAACATGGGCAGTATTTAAAAACAAAATACACATCAACAGACCCACAAAAGCTTACTTGATATTTTCTTTTGGTTGTAGGTTTCAAAGGGCTATTCAACAAACCACCAAATACAGCACCTTGCATGTCTCCAGCCACCTAGAAGGCACAAAGCCACCATAACAATGATAAAGGAAAACATACAAATGGATATATGCATGTGCATACAGATATTAATTTATCCATCAGTTATGTGGTTTTTTGTTTTTTCATCGGAGTCAAAATCCATAATTATGAGTTTGTAAACAAGTACAAAACTGTCATCTACTTAACAAACAAACACGATTATGCGGTAAACTATCGTAAAAATATGACAAAATAGATCCTAACTCTTAACTGTTAATGACAGGTGTTTGCTTATATGCCAAAAAGCATATAAAGTGCTCCTTAGATTGGGCAACCAGTAACCTAGAGGGCTTCAGCATACTGCATTATAGCCTCACAATACTTTCTATTGTCAAATAAACATATGAATTAAGCCTAAGCCTATTGACATTACAAAAAACTTCTTTTTGGGTTTCTGGAAATCATCCCAATATCCCATTCTCCTCCCTTTTCATTTTCATTCATAATCAAGGACCTGTGCCTCTTCCCTTTTTAAGGGTCAGCAATTTGGCAGTTCAAAGATCATACAATACCCAATCAGGTAAGAAACAGGAGGTCAAGGAAGGCATTTTGGCAAGAAGTCAAGAGGACGACACTAAATTGGTTCATAACAACTATTTGAAATATAACCAATAGAAAATTTGGAAGTGATAAAGAAAATGAACAATTATTTGTGAAGTTGTAAATTTTGATACTTATATTACATACAATGTCATCTTACCTCAAGAAAACGATATTTATAAGGTAAGTCCTATCTATTTCAAAAGAGAGGTAAGGGATATTTCTCTTTCCACTAAAGCAGCAAGCGTTCGTCCCCCCTAAGCCCCAATGGGGAGGGGGGGGGGGGAATACGACTAACATAACAACAACAACACTAAAGCTGTCTCAGTCATGCCCCTGGTTCCTTACACTCAACTTAACGGACCTACAGGAGTGACATAGGTGTTAGTAGTCATATCTTTTCGAAAGGTAGTTCTTCCTAGCTTTTAGTCCAAAGGCTAGCAATTAGTCTATTCCGAAGGCGAGCAATAGCAAGGTGTTCTCCTGTCGTCAATCTTATTAGTCGTCATCTCCACTAGTTGTAGGGCGAAGCAAGATTGGCTGATAGAGGTTCAAATGTTAAGGTTAATACTTATCCATATGATTTCTTGGTTATTTGAGGTTATCCCTAAGGCTTTTGGACCAATGATCAATTAAGTTTCAGACTTCACCGCTATCTCGGAGACTTGGTGTTAGAACATTGCAGTGAAAATAGAGCCTTCCTTCAATTTTTATCCATACTTCATGATTTTATTTCTATGGATTATGTTAACCCTGATTATGCTCCAGAAAGAGTTTTGTACTCATGTGAGCTGAATTTACTAGATATCATGTCTTGATAGCGGTTCCCCTTTTTGGACTCATCGGCAACCAACTGGATACATGTTGCTTCTCGATCCAATTGCTGGGAAATTTGAAGAGAATAAGCCTTGAAGCCTTTCTCATGCAATCTACCTTGATTTTTTTTCATGGAAAAACGAAAGTGCCAATATTGTAGGTCTAAGTCTGACGGGAATAATGTTCTATGACTAATAATTCATAGGTTCTCAAACCAACTCTAAGCTACCATCATTTTATAGACCTAACTAGGCTAGTCTACAAACCTATCCGAAGCTACCCCCAAGGGTAACGGGGCCACTCAAGTTCCCCCCAAAAAAAGGAGGGAAGCAGTTCCGAAGAAAGGAAATGGGCACTAAAGGTTCCAACAGTTTCTAGAGCTTATCAGCGCATACCCTTGACCTGCTTCGCAGCATAAGCTGGATAAGGAATGAGCTCCCCTAATGAATTAACAGCCCGAAATCCAACCGAGGCATTTGCAGTAGGGCTGTTATAGGAAATTCACCTTTATCTTTTTGAGAATAGGAAATTCATGTGTATCATCTTTAAACCAACATGGTTTGGGGATAAGCATGGAGGATCTTATGGTTATTAGTGAAATAAGGATCTTGGAATATGTGCATGACGAGGAAATCTTACAAACACAAGGATCATGGTTGATGGATTGCAGATCCATCAACCACAATACCACAGTGTAACTTCAAGAGAGGAATTTGACAAAAGCCAACTCAAAACAACCTGAATTTTGGTCAGAATGAACATCAACATGTAATCTTTCATCCTATAAAAGGATCTAGATCAAAAGAACAACAGTTTCAAAGCGATTCAAGCACAAAGCTTCAGATCAAGAAGTCGCCGGATCGTGGCGAAACAAAAGACAGTACAGACTTGAATTCAATGAACTAGGTTTGAATTGGATAAACTTCAATATCATCTATATCATTCCTCAAACATCAAGAACTGTCATATTGGAAGATGGACAGCTCAAGATCACCCAATGTTTAAGAGGTGTTAATCACAACAACCAACACTTCACAGAAACCATAAAAGCACTCTCACACACTGGAAGGGGACTTTTTTCCTGGCGCTTGGAAGTTCAGAGAGAAAAAATTCGCGAAGGAGCACTAAGCCATTGACGCAGCTGAAAATTCACCGGAACTAACAACCGGCAAATACAGCTGTGATCTAAAGAGACAAACAAAAATCTAAGAAGAAATCAGCAAGAAGAAGGTACAAACGTGGGGATCCAAGATCTCCAACACACCCCACAAGAGTTAAGGGAAGAAAAAAAAGCATGCAAAGGATCTTTCTCTCTCTAACACGCTAAAAGTATCTTTTCATTCAACAAAATTCATCCCCTAATACTTTGTACGTGCTTGCTTTTTATACACTTCCAACTTGTTTTCTAAAACTCCCTACAACAAATGAAGTCCACCAATTCAACGTTAATCCTAATAGGTGGTTTCCATATCACGTGAACTATGTCCTTATCCAAAAGATAAGGAAAGAGCTAATTTAAAAAAAGAGGATACCAACTCAACTAAAACTTACTAAAAGGAAACGGAATTGCTTCATCTTCCTAAAACAACTCAACAAAATTGGACTCATAATGAAATAGACTTATCAAGCTAACCCAAAGAATCCTAGAGTAATCCTTTTTCTAACAATTAACCCTAATAAAAATAAAGATAAAAACAAATACACCCAAAATAAATATTTAATTAATTAATTAAGACCCCTAAAAATTGAGAAAAATAAAAATAAAGAATCCATCCATCTCTCGATCTGCATCAGCCATCTTCATAACACTAGGTTAACTTGGCATTAAGCGTCTTCTTCCTCTACTGTAAACATTGCGTAGTTGCATACTGCAATCTTCTTAGTAATGTGAGTTAGCTGCAGCCAAATTTATGTGTTTTGAGTCTGTCTATGTGTGAATGTAAATGAAACAAGTTATCTGAATTTGATCCATTGGAATCCATTCTTCTTCCTTTAGTTTCTGTTAAACACACTTTGGAGGAATCGCTAGGACTTGCCAGTTCACTGATTAATCTAAGTTCCAAAAATTGTTGACATCCATAGTTTAATTTCAGAATGCTTCAACCATTTGTGCTTCAAGGAATAGACATCTTGGTGGGCAAATGAGTATTCCTTGTACAAAGTAATTTTTTAGATTTCTAGTGGTATCCTAACTAACTAATCAGATAAGATATGTCAATGATGGAAGCGAATGAAAACACACCAACTACACATAAACCATACCATAAATTTTGCAAACATATATATATATATATGTAAGTTTCAAAGCTTTTCAAACCCTAGTGTCCGACATAACACTACCCATCCCTTAGATAATTCAAGAAACTAGGGAAAGAAAAAAAAACATTGCAGATCTACAATGTATCAACTAAAATATTGGTGGCATCACCTGTCCCTAAACCAAAAGAACAATCTATAAGACACATGCTAGCATAAAAGAGTGCACTTCTTTTTTAATGTTTTATACAATAATACAAATGATTAAATGCAGGAAGGACTACTGACTATGCCATGCAGATTGGGAATGTGTACATGAATGAGACATGGATTTAATTAACAATATGCATATGCATATTCAAGTACTCTTCAGTAACACAGGTAGCAATAGCATCGTATAATTATCATGCACCACACAAGAATAATCATTCCTCGATCGCCAATAGCTTCTATAGTCTAGACCCTTTCTTCTTCATCCTCTCTGGTTGTGCTGCGTTTTGGTTACAAATTTAGTTCATATCTTGGATTGAAATTTTCTAGTTTTTCCTATCATAACATATAAATTTGTTCTTAGAAGGCACTTTACTCATATTTTACTTACTTTTTATCTTTCACCATTTACAAGATTTATTAGATATCCTATTTCATAATTATAAGCCAGAGTTTATAGGAACCATCATTGAATTTTAATGGAATTTTCATTTGCCAAGGACATCTGCCTATTTGTTGCCTAATTCAAGCAAAATATAGCCAGTTTCCCGTTGGATTACAAAAAGTTTAAATAATATTATTTATCTATAGTGCACAAAACATTACAGATTCAATTATTTCAACAAAAAGGAATAAGCCTTCCTATTTCCTCTGTAGCATGATCTTACCAATATGCATGGGCCTGGAAGATTGGCACTGTTACGTAGTAGAGTACGAAGAGATATCCCATGTTTCAAAGTACTGCCCTTCATATTAAACAAGAAAAAGCTATATCAAATTCGAAAATACATAAACAGAAAATTAAACTCACTGTATTAACAATAGATGTTTATTTCACACTACTTTACCTATATAGCAACACCCATCGGCAACCCCTGACTATATTAGGAACTGATGACTGCAAAAATTCAAGCATATCTGGGGATAAAAATGATGATTCTTCCATGATATCAGGCTGGAATGTTGTTAGGTTGCATGGATTAGATGTTGCTTCAAGTTTAGTAAAAGGTTCCTGTCCCTTTTCTTCATCAGTATTCAACTTCTCTTCACTGTCATATTCACTTTCATCCTTCAAGCTGCAGTATAGGCTTCTATCTGCATATGCGTTAGCTTCTCGGCTTTCCCTCCATGTCCCACTAATGTTTGGCTGAATACGTGATGATGTTATCACAGGTTGAGGAGATCGTTTTGGGCTTTGCTCATTCAAGCTAGAGCTTACATTAGGAAGAAGTGAAATAAGAAGTGAAGAGAATGTAGTTGTCCCGCAACCATTCAAATCTTCTCTGTTCAATGGAACAATCTGCACATTCAACATCATCCGATTGTTGCCTATCATCAAACGTGAAGGAAGAACATTTGAAGTCCATAATTAACACATGAGATAAATAACAAAGGGGATTTTTCATCCTTCCAACAACATACTGTAACATCACAGATGCTCATTCCAATAGGGAAAAAAAAAGGTAGAACTTTTAACAATTGTTCAAATGCAATAATATAATCCATGTATTTTTAAGGAAGTTCAAATTAAAACTTGACTTGATAATTCAAGTGGAACATAAAATAATGCCATGCCAAAAACCTAGCAACTAGAATGAAAGCAAGGATTAGTGTTGTTGATAATACTGGGAGTTAGCAAGGCATGTAGGCAAGACTAAAAACATTCAGCATATGAAATTTAATCTCCCAAGTAAAAGAATTTGTAATCTACCACTGATAATTTTGAAGGTAGACCATCTAATAACATAAAAAAGAGCATGAAACTAAATAAAATAAAATGCTCAATTGGGTGTAAGTACAACCTCTGTGACCCAAAGAATGAAAGAACCAAGAATCAACTTAAGAAGCGATTCTCGAATTATATGTATCCCACCAATATCAGAAATAAAACAACATCCAAAAATCGCAAAAATTAAATTAAGAATGAAACTAAAAGGAAAATATCAAAAGAAAAAGAAAAGAATATTAATTGCATCAACTCTCACATTAATTTAGCATAAAGAATCCAGACCCAATTTAACAGAAATGAAAATAGAACAATGTAACAGATGTTCATCAAAAGAAAATAAGATACAGATATCTATTAATAGGGGTGACAACGGACCGGGGGGTCCGGCCCCGGACCTGAAAAATTATATGGGACCCGCCCGACCCAAAAATTAAAATATCTATGTATTTAACTATATTTAAATATATTTCATACATTGGGACCCAAAAAATATTACCGGACCAAGACCCGAATAGTGTTCGGGTCCAAGATTTGGACCCAGACGGACCCGGCGGGTCCAATTTTTGGACCCATACCCAGACCCAGATCGAATCTACCCCCTCGGGTCCTGGGTCTGGTCTAGGTCCATTTCCACTCTTAGCCATAAAAAGAAAAGAGTATTAATTATTAAAACTTCAGGCCACAATCAACTGCAAAATTCCAACTTTTTAGCGACGCAGCAAAAAGTTTGCAGCTTGATGGATCTGACAGATAGTATGATAATATCAACCAATATTAAATTACAAAAGAAGAAGCCAAGAACAAAAATTAAATGAGCAACTTTAAACTAACAAATTTTTTTTAAAAAAAGGACAAATTTCCAGATTAGTACCTGAGGTTGAGGTCGAACAGTAGATGAATCCTTGGCAATGTGAGAAGAGGAAGGTGAATCAGCAAAAAGACGAGATAACCTCTGCGTAACCTTCTCTTTCCAAGACAACATTATACCCACCAAATAATATTTTTTTTAAAAAAAAAAGGCTTTGAAGCTAAAGAACTAGAACTCTATAAGAACCCCATATGCATTATACAGAGAAACCCTAATTTCATGAGAAATAAATGAGATTGAGAAGCCAATGTGAAACAGATCTTCTCAAACAAAGATTTGGGGTTGCCAGAAACCCTTAAATACTCAGAAAATCAATCGATAAAACGCAAAAGTTTCAGGAAAGCCTTACGATTGCAAAGAGATAAGACCCTAGAATTCCAGGGGAGAGTGATTTCATTGCAGAGATGGACAGGGAAGGGAGGGAGAGGAAGGTGTACAAGAGCTTTGGACCCGTTGGCGAAGGAGATGGCGATATCTCAGACGTCCGATGGTGGATCCGGGCAAAGAATGGAAGGTGAATTGGGGTTGCCCAAGGCAGTTGGACTTCTATTCGAATGCGGCCCCACTTTCCCGCGATTTTCGGCGCCTTTTGCTTTTTTATCCTTTAACAGAGGGGACTCTTGTCGAGAATGGCCGGTGAAAGTCTTTAACGTAATTGAGTTAAATAAAGGGTGCGGTTTGTATAGAGCCTAGGTTATAAGCAATTAAATTAGAGCCTATCTTTAAATAGTTTCGAAAAATGTGGTTTCAAAGTTGAAAATATTTGTATTAGCATTAAAATTTTAAACTTAAAAAACAAAGTAATTTGAGCAGTCCACACTTCATTTCTTATTTTGCTTTCTATAACATTAATAACCAATCCTATAACTTTTTGTTTTTGGCTCTTCTCCCCTCGCTATCGTGCATGGTAGTGACCGAAAACATCTCTCCCTACCTTGGTATTTCAAAATTGCTGATCAAGATAAGGAATCGCGAGTTTTTGAGCTAAATCAGTGTTTAAAGATAATATAATTTTTATATCATTTATTACATTAAAACTATATGTGCACGTTAATTAATATCTCAAGTCTGAGAAGTAAAAGGGAGGATTTGATCTTCGCGATTGTGGATATTAGCCACTTTAACCATCTACACATTGTATATTATAAGTCAATTTACTTTTGGCACAAAGAGTCACAATCAGCTTTAGCGGTTGGATGCAAAATTCAACAAATCAAAATATATTACAATATTCGAAAAAATATATTTTGGACTTTGTACTCAGTTAATAACACACCCTTAACTGTTAGATTTTAAATCCAATGGTTAATAATGATTGTGATTTTTTTGTATCAAAAGTAAATGGTTTGTTTAAACACGTAAAAGTTCTTTTTTTTTTTTAATATTTATCTAGATCACTGATCTAGACCATTCTGGATTAGACCATTCTGGATTGACGATTTGAGGATTGAACAAGATATCCATGGGTGGGTGATCCACCTTACTATTTTGTTTTTTAAATATTGGATGGAATTATCACTTTTGACCATCAAATCACCCAAATACCAAATACAATAATTATGTTACGTCAAGATGTCACGGATATAGTCACAATTTTTGTAGTTTGCCAAGTATATACAGTGGTCAGTATCTTGAAACCAAACTGTGTAAAATCATGCATTATGAAATGCTTATGCGCATCAAACATGGTCTTATAGCTTAGTTTTGCATGAAGGACAAAGTTAAGGACAATTGAGTGAAAAATTGGGGGAAAAAAAAAGGGGAAAACAATGGAAATAACTGAAAAAACATAAGGAGTCAAATATGAGGTTAATATTTCAGAAGTTTGTTATTTCATCTTTTTATGAAAAATAACTTCTTCTTTTTTAAATAACATCTATTGCTCTTATTATTTTGATACTATTGTATATTATTTATATCTTCTTTATTATATAAACTGAATTGGGAAACTTGTATCATGTGTCTTAATCTGTTATAAAAAGATTGTCACATATTTACAACCATTTTTACTCCCCGCCCCTTTTGTAGACATCACCCTTGAATGATTAAATTTCAAATATTTTAAAGATCTAAAACTAAGAATCAAAACCTAGAAAACATTATAACCCCATAAGATTTATTTTGAATAGTCCATAATCACTTTATGGGTCAATATTGAAAAAATTACATTATTCCATTCTAGCCGTCCATACTACGCATATTATGCCACATGTAGCATGTGTTGCAAATGTGCAAGGATTTCACCCCTAAAATTATTAGAAATTCATCTATGAGTATTAGAGTTGATTACTTGATTTAGATAAAATTCCCTTTGAAATTAGTCCCATTAAACCCAATATGAAATTTGCAGTTGGTACCCTATATACCAAAACCTTAAAACTCCCTCAATTTATGTTCAAAATTGGTCATATTACATATCAAATTAAAACATTTCCAACAAAACAAAACTCACTTCAATATGACATTTTAATAGGAAGTCACAGCTCGATTAGTAAACAAACTTTGAATTTCTAAAAGGATTGTATACTAAGAGACCATTTATCTTTGGTAAAATTATTCCTAATTGTTAGCTGTCAAAATGGATAGCTTTGGGAGCATTATAAAGTTCAAGATTTTTTTTTTATTATTTATTATTTATTATTTTGAGTTTAGTCAATCAACTACTAATTTGAAACCTTCTATCAAAAGTAGATAATCTCTTTGATATATACTTTTCCATTTCTAAATTACCCCATCACACAATGACTCATAAGTAAGGGTTGTAATGGGCCGGGCCAAAATTAGTTCAAGTGCATTAAGATACTTTTACAACGACCCAATTTGAAATTTAAGAGACAATGGTGATTGTAACTATTTTGTATCTAAAGTAAATGGTCTCTTTATATACTTTTATATTTATAAATCACAAAGTTAGTTCAAGTGCAATAGAACCTTGCCCAAGCCCAACCCAAACGAGGCAAAAGGGTACCCGAGTTAGGCCCAACCCTACTTCTAGGCTAAGTGAGTCAACCCGTTGATGTGGGACCCCACTTGTCTAGGTAAATTAGATAGTTTTGAAAAATTCATTATAAAACAAAAAAGCGTTCGGTCAGGCTGGGCAGGGAATTAAATAATGTTGGCTTAGGCTCAGAGTTCTGGCCAACAGGCTCGAATCAACTCAAAATGTTACTTCATAATGAAGCTAAAGAGGGCCTTAACCAGTGTTTAAAAACTCTCTAAGTCGAGCCGGACTCGCCCGGTTCTACTCGGGAATCGTCTGATATCGAGCCGACTCTACAAAAAAATCGAGAATCGCCCGTGTCCAGAGAGAACCGAGTGAGACTCATGATTCACTACGACTCGGGAATCGTCAGAGACCGAGCCGATTCCACGAAAAAATCGGGAATCGCCTAGTATCCAGAGAGAACCGGGCGATTCCCAATAGTGAATCGCGAGTCTCATCGAGAGTGACACGTGGTAGCCTCACGTGAGGCATGGCACGTAAAAATCATTTACATGGCAACCTCACGTGAGGCGTGGCACCTAAAAATTATTCACACACGTGCTAATTCACCTCACTCGTATGCCCCCCTCTTTTTTCTCCACGCGCAGCTGATGGACTAGTACACAACATTTTATAGAGAACAAAGGGTCACTCATCTTTCGATGTGGGATAATTCCCACAAAAAACCATTAAAGCAATATGATTGAATATGTATTATATTATAGAAGCTAATGAATCACATTAGACGATGTGGTGGTGTTGGCTGACAACTTTAAATTTTAGGTGGGCGTTTTGAGT